GCCACAATGTTTCAAAGCTACCTTGAAATCTGTTAGCTACTGAACATTTATTTTAAGATGTAGCTTTAATTACCATATGTAGCAGCACATTCATTTGGTCTCCTTTGAGTTGTTAAATATTTCCTCCTCCTAAGAGAAACATCATTTGAATGTTTTAGTGTCTTTGAACAATTAATATTCCTCAACTATACTATTATATAAAGCATACCTTTATTTAAATGCCATTTATGTTACTGTGCTCAAAAATTATTTCTACATGTACATTATCTAAAGCTTTGGGTTATTCTTGGTTCATTCTAAATGTAGGTCTAAAATTTGAATATTGAATTAGTTGACTTGCAAAATACTATTCAGAATATGAATTGTCTAATGAAGATGAGCCAGTCATTTCTCTGGCTTCTCTACATGAACAGTGACATTCCTGAACAAGGTCCATTCTCTTTGGAATGTTTGTAAATTACGTGGCATGGAACAGGAAGGTGCAGACTTATTTTCATAGATCATTAAAGTGGGGTTTCCTTTACAGTTTTGAATAATTCTTCGCCTTTAAGGTAGGGCTATAAAATGTTAGTGTCCTAAACCCCAGCAAAAGAAACGGAAGTAACCAGTAAATGTGCACAGAAGAGAAGCCCTTGGAGAGACAAAATGGCTTCACATCTGAATGGGAATTGCTTATTTCTGAGGCTTTATTCTTACAACTATCTTTTCCCTAAGTAATACCAGCTGATACAATGTCATGGCAAGGTACAAATATTAATTTATGGTAAGAAAGTTATTTATACTTCTTTAAATGGGCCAAAACAGTGATGGGTAGATGGTAGAGGTCAATGTGTTTTCCATCATTTGGTGTGTCCAGGCAAAGACTAATTTCCTGCATGAATGAGATGGGATTTCCTTCCTCTCTAGAATGATTTAGTGACTTTCATCAACACTTGTTTATCGTGTGTGTGTGTGTGTGTGTGTGTGTGTGTGTGTGTGTGTGTATTTTGTAGCTTGAATCTAATCTAAATACTAACAATCTCTCACATACAACAGTACTTTGATCTGGAATGTGTCTCAACAACAACACTGTTAAACAGGAATGTGATTCAGAATAAATGGGAGCTAGAGTAAGCCATCAGCTACAACATTCTACAGATTGTCCCCTTCATAGGGTTCATAGTGGGTGGCTGAGCAACCCTTGTATATAATATATTTGAAATTCATTTGTAAAGTATCGTCTGGAAAAAAGTAATCTCTGGATTTGTTCCTCATGAGATGATAAATTTGGGGCATCTGTGAGTTGAGTAACCTCGTTCATAGAGTTCTTCAGTAAATGTATACCCATGCCCCCAAGGATACTCCCTCACTCCATTAGCCACTGTGGGAAGATGATCTCTGGCATAAAGATTATTTGGAATACCTTTAGTAGATACTCCAAATAACATGCTTCTGACATAGCAATACACATTTATTTTTAATTTGGAAACAACAAACTCAATTTACAATTTAATCCTAGAATGTGAAAACAATTGCAGTTCAACTCTTTGATCTGAAGAGAAATAGTGTCGATTGCATCAGATGATTTACTGCTAGAGCTGGGCCCAACGCTTCTTGGTTTCTAACTTCCCATTCCAAAGCTGATACTCCCTTTTCTACATAGCCATGTATCTCACAGGAAAGTTCATTGATGGTGAATGGTAAGAATTTAAAGAGTCTACTCCTACTTCATTAAAGCATTTTCATAAAACTTACAATTTTAATATCTAGGGAAAGATGAGGGGAAGGCTTATGAAGCCCCGCCCTAGCTGAAGAGCTATGCCAGTTGATGGCTGTTGGGTAAGGGAGATTGCTCTTTGCCTTCAGTACTTGAGACTTCAATTGCCTGTTCATTTTCCAGTGGATGGCCTGTTCACACAAACCAGCATTTAATGGACTCAGTGACTTAAAAGAGTACATGAAGTTGGGAGGGAAGGGGTTAGGGGTATGAAAAAGTTAAAGGGAAAGGGCCCATGGGTTTGATCAAAACATACGCATGTATGAAATTCTCACGTTTTAATTTAAAAATTATATTACAGTGATTACATTTTCTACTTCTGGCATGCTGCTTATCTGTTCTTTGCTTTATGCAAACATGAGCCTGTGTACAGACAAACGAACTTTTAAAAATAAGTTACTTTTAAAGTATTTGCGATTTCAATGAAACACAAAGTCTTGGGGTGCTTCTTGGTTAATTTTGAACAAATATATTCTACGTATTAGAAGTGGTAGTGTTGTCAGTAATTAATATGCTCAGTAAAATGGGTAGCATTTATGGCTCTGAATATTTTAAAGTCTAACAAGAGAAGCATTTAGCAATCACAATGGGGCATGACAAAGTGTATTTCTCAGCCATAGTAGAAATCATTTAGTAAAACTGAAAACATTTTTTAGATTGATCTTCATTTGTATTTTAAGGATATGGGTGTTTTGCCTGTGCCTGCAGAGGCCAGAGGAGGGCATTGGGTCCCCTGGAACTAGATTTACAGACTGTTGTGAGGGGCCATGTCGGTGCTGGAAACCAAACCCCGGTCCTCTGGTCCCCTGCAAACCTTTATTTTAAAGATTTATTATTTAGTAATATGTATGGGTGGGTCTGTTTGTAAGCATGGGAGGGCTGGTGCCTGCAGAGGACAGAAGTGTCAGATCACCTGGAGCTGGAGTTGTAAATGATTGTGCATTGCCAGTGTGCTTGCTGGGAATAGAACTACTCTTACTGCCTACTCTTAACTACTGAGCCATCTCTCCAGCCCCAAACTAAACATTTTAAGTTAAGATTAAATAAAAGGAAATCTCATTTTTCTAGTCATACCTGAATCGAGAAAATAAGATTTCTATATGTTTTTCTTTGTTGGATCATTAGTTTCTTCTTACCTAATAACAGTCAGTTGTAAAGGCTTAAGACTTATCCAGAAAGTGAATTTTAATGAGAAAGATGATCAATTATGACTTTTCTTATTGATGTAGTTTAGCTATACAAGTGTTTAGAAAGTTTGTTATAGAAAGACTTCACAATGTGCCGATTCTGTAAATAACAAACGTTTCCCAACATGCTCCATTCCTATGATATTAAAGTCCTCCTTGCATTTACACCAGATTGGATATCTTTTTGTAGAGTGTTGCTCCCCCAAAGCAAATTGATTGTAGCAAAGCTTTAATGCTGTTCTTTAGGAAGGTCTTGTTTTCCTTCTGAGAGTTTATTGTGCCTTACTCTGGTTGTCATGGGAGAGCTGTGGAGACAACAGTGCTCTGTGAAGGACTGTGAACATTGGAGGTTCTGGACATTGGACCATTTAGATTTTGTTGATGGGAATTGTTCATAGGAAGGACTAGCCCTTTTCTGTGATGCTCCTCCTCTCTTCTGGGAGCAGAAGGTGCTAAACTACCCTTCTGAGGTCCCTGGAGTTCTTGCTGCCCTTCTGACTTAGTCTATGATAACCTGTTTTCTGGAACAAGTCTATCCAGCCTTCCTTGGGAATGTTACAAGGCTGCCCTGCCACAAGTAGAAGAAAGGAATGCAGATTTCTAGCGCACCCTTCAGAATATGAAAGAGTAGATTTAATTTGTGAAATCTTTAGATATGTTTCACTTAAGACAGAAGACAAGCCAACTTAGAAATAGGAAATAAGAGAAAACTAAATGTTTGAGTAACATGAAGTCGGAGAGCAACAGCTTCTTCCATCACCTTGAGAATAACCAGGAGGAAAGAAACTGAACAAACATTTGTGTTAAGACAGAACTCCTTGACCTGGTTTGGGTCTTAGACAGCTGTGAGGGAGAGGCTTCATTCACAACACTTGAGCTGTAGAGGGATTAAAATGTGAAATTTTCGTTAAGTTGCTCTTGGGCCTCTGTCCTGGGCTTTCTGAACGCCATATGAATTATTCTGCCTCAGGATTCAGTTCATCAAACTAAGTGGTCTTGTGACTTAGTTCATTCATCCAATCTCTGATCCTAGAAGAGGCTGCCTTCTGGAAATGAGGATTGGAATCCGTCCTAGGAAAACACTCAGTGAAGATTTTTCATCTCGGGTTAAAACACTTCAACTGTTGAGCTCACTTTTCTTCTTTTTAATTTTTTTCATTTATTTTACATACTGACCATAGTTCCCCCCTCCCTCCTTTCCTCCTGTTCTCTTCCCCCACCTCCCATCTTCCCCCGCCCCCCATCCACTCCTCCATCTCCATTCAGAAAGGGTATGGCCTCCCATGGAAGTCAACAAAGCATGGCACATCAAGTCTGAGGCAGGACCAAACTCCTCCCCCTGCATCAAGTTCCCAGCTCACTTTTTTAATAGGCAGTGTGTCCCTAACAAATGTCTTTACACCAACAGAAAGAAAAGAAAATCCCAGGCAGAAATATAAACTAAAATAAAGGGTCTGCCCCAGAACTTAGAAGGTATTGTATCAAAGCATCTTTGTGATTTTTAAATTTTCCAAATCCTGCAGCCTTTTTATTCATTAAGAAAAATAGATACTGAAAGTCTGAAGGTCTCCTTTCTCATTACTTGGAAACACATGTCAGCATAATCTGTCAGGACTCCATCGGAAGATGTTCAGTCAGTACCACGTCTGGTGGAGTGGGCTTAATATTTCCATGATTTTGCATTTGGTATTCATCAGAAACATGAGTTCATTCATCTGGGACTTGGCAAGCCAAGAAAAAGAGATTTATGTATTTTTTAAATTTTATTCTTCCGAACGTAGCTTGAAACAGTTTTCAAGTTTGATTTTTTATGGTTTGAAAAATACATTTTAGGTAAAAAGTAGTTTTAACTTACAAAGTAAAGTTAGGAGAATAGAGGCTGAAGGTTTACATCGACAGGGTGGAAATGGAAGCAGCAAAAACGAAGTAGCAGAACTCTAGAAGCTGGACCAGTTGTTCTAAGGTGTCTGCATGTCGAGGTCGCCTTGCAGGGCGCTCCGGGGGAAAGGAAAAAAAAAAAAAAAAAAAAAAAAAAAAAAAAAAACTCCCCTGTAAAAATGCCTGTGCGGGCTAAGAGTGGCAAGATTGCTAAAGAGGCCAACAGGCTCTGCTCTCTACAGCTCCAAAGCCAGGGACAGAAAGTGGCATCGCCTTCCCGGCTGTAAGCGTCTGCCACCTGTTTGCGCCCGGCCCCCAAGGGTCGTTCCCGCTGCCTGAGACCTATTTTTTCCACCAAAGTCCACGGAGGTTCGAGTCT